GGGAGCATGGCAGCATTCAGGCATGAAGTTGGAAGTTCTACATCCAGATCCACAGGCAGCAGGAAGAGAGAGACAATGGGCCTGGCATGGGCTTTTGAGCCCTCCAAGCCCACGCCTCAGTGGCATCCGTCCTCCAATAAGACCACACCTCCTAATCCTTTACAATAATGCTACTCCATAGTGACCAAGCATTCAAATATATGAACCTATGGGGGCCATTCTTATTCAAACCACCACACCCAACTTCAAGTAGAGCTGGCAGGAAACCTGTTGGCTAATCACAGTACAACTCTGTGACCTTGGTAGCATCACCAATGCTACTGTTGGTGACACTGTCAATCTGATGGTTGTGTGAGCATTCTCTCCCTCCTGGGTTTCTGTTCCTTAATGGCTGCTTCAACCAGTTGTCTATGAAGTCTTGGCTTTGAGCTCTCTAAAGGGCTCTGACATTGTTCTCTTGTTCACAGTGAGTTCACCTTGGCCCTTACACAATTCACGTGGAAGGATCACTGCTGGGCGCTGAGCTGAAAATGGGATAGAGGAAGGAAAAGAAATGCCACTGGGTGACATGGTCTAGAATTTGAGGTGGCACATTTGTTTGAGCTAAGGGAAGGGTTGCAACCACATTTCTAGATGCAAAAGTAAACAAAGCTCAAAACAGGTAACTAGGCTGTGTGGAGGTCTTGTTGTTCTATTTCTCTGCTTGGAACTGGAGTGCCGTAAACTAAAAACAGTTTATTAATGATGGGGATACCTTCTGAGAAACATGTCAATAGACAGTTTGTCATTATGTGCACATGATACAATGTACTACACCAGTATAGATGATATAGCCTCCCTTTATACCTAAGCTATATGTTGTAGCCAGTCCTGCTAGATAAAAATCCTCTGAACAACGTTCCTGCACTGCTACCATGACTACTGTAATGTAACAGTCTTTGTCTGTCTACACATAGGAAAGGTGTGGTAAAATACTAGGTGGTGGGAATTTTTTTTCCCACTATAATCTTTTTTTCTACTGTAATCTTAGAGAAACTACTATATGCAATTTGTCTGTAACCAGCATATTGCTATGCAGCTCATGACTATATCAGCCTCAGCAATTAAAGTATAATAAGAAATGCTCAGAAAACTCTTGCCTAGGCCTTCCCTCTTAGATATCCTCAAATTTTATTCCTAGCAAATTCTTTATAACCTGAAAATCTAATGGGAAGTACCATCAGTGGGAAAATTGTACCATAATGATATGGCCATATTCAAACCTCTTTTTTCATACAAACTCATTTTAATTCTCCCAGTGATGCTAGCCTCCGAAGAGGAGCTGAGAAGTGTTCTCATCTGCTGTAGGGTTTTATACTGTTGGTATTGGTTTTAGTTTTTGTTTTTCGTAAATGTTTGGTGTTCACTGGTGAGGACTTGTGGGCCTGCAGCTCTCTTTGTAGGGAAGCTGTTTGTTTTTTATTGTGGGAAAATATACCAAAAAGAAGATTTTACCATTTTAATCTTTCTTAAGTGTGTGGTTTACAAGCATTAAACATTCATGTGCAAGTATTACCAGCACCCATCTTTAGGACTTTCCATCTTCCCCAACGGAAACTGCACCCGGTTTCTTGGTCTAGCTTGTTCTGTTTTGATTCATGTATGTATTTGTCTGTTAGGGACGTGGGTTTTGCTTTGCTTTGCTTTGCTTTGCTTTTTGAGACAGTCTCACCATGCTGGCCTTACACCTTTGCTACTCAAGTGCTAGGATTATAGGCATGTGCCACCATATCTAGCTAGCTTCCTTTTAAAATTGTGTCTCTTTAAGGTGTGCAGTAAGACATTTTCATGTCGCTGCATGTATGTAGTGAAATCTCACTTAGCTGCCCTTTGTATGAGTGTGTGTATGAGTGTGTGAACACCTACCTTTTAAAATTAAATTCTAGGTTGGCATATAAAATACTGGATTTCATCATGTAATCTTCATACATGGGAAGAACACATGCCTTTGAAAATCCATGTTGTGCATTAGCTCTAGGTTTGCTCCTCCTACATACAGCTGGATGTGTTCTCCCTGACATCATTCCATTTCCCATTTCCTGACCTGTGTTTGAACTCCCTATTTTCCCCTCTGCAAGCACCACTCTGTTCTGTCACTATGGATCTGACTGCTCTAGGAGTTGTCTCTAAGAGGAACAGTACAGCTCGTTGAGCTTTTGTGACGGTCCTGTTTCCTTAGCTTGACTGTCTTTATGATCCAACCCTATTGTAGCCTGTGTCAAAATACAGTGTTGGGTATTTCTTATTCCTCCTTCTGAGAACACTTCAGGTTACTCCACTGTTTGTCTACAGTGCCACCGTGAATCTGAGCGCACAAACATCTTTTCAAGCCTCTCTCTGCTTTCATTCCTTCTGGATATATACCCAAAAATGGAATCGCTGGCTCTGGGTCTAATTTTTGGGAAGTTCATGATACTGTTTCCATAGCAGCTGCATCATTTTACATCCTATCAGCAGTGTGTAAGGTTTCCAGTTTCCTCATATCCTTGCCAACACTTGCATTTTCTGATTTATTCTTTACATATATGTGCATGTACACATACCCACTCACACACTAAGTATATGTTAGTCATCATGAACTTATTTTTATTTAAATTGTATACTCATTTAATAAGTTTAGGTTGCTTAGTTTTTTTTCTTTTACTTGTGATGTTTTAGAAAGTTATTATCAGTAAGTTGTTTTTCAAAGATATTTTCCCATAAATAAATGAAGATTTGTTTATAATATCCATTTACTTTTCCAGTGTCTATGGGGTCTTTTCCTTTCTTTATGTCAAAAAGTACCATTTTTATGTAGTCTGTCAAACAATCCACAAATAGCCATGCTCTATTTCAAGAATTTGGCAATTTAGTCTGAGAAGTTTAAATACATTAAAATTATGTATTTAAAAGATTTTTATGTTTCTGTTGGATTTATTAGATATTTATTTAATTAAGAAGATAAATAGCAGTACATCACCAGATGTGGCTATTAAATATGATAAAGAAGTGAAAGAAATAGATGTCTGTGTGATTAATTAAAGAAGCAGCTGCCTAAACAAGGAAGCTGCCACACGCTCAGGCCCTGGTCATGCCGAGCTGCGTCTGCCAGCCAGCAGCCTGCAAGGCACACACTCCTGACATTTTGCTCGTTGGTTGTGCAGTCTAGTTGTGTCCTTTGTGTGCGGTCATTTACAGTGAGAGAAATTTTGCCTTCTTTTCCTTGGTTTTTGAACAGTGGTTAGTATCACATGATCATTAGAAAGGTGGGAATCACATTTAGATCCAGCTTTCCTGGGTGGGAATCATTTGTATCATTTTACATTTTTGAGCATGAATTACCTGTCTTTGTGGGTGTAATCAGTTTCTGCTCTTCAGCATACAGAACATTTTATGAATGCATTTAACGTGGAAAGGTCTAAAGATAGTTTTGTAGGTAGAGTTTTATTGGTGTTGTATAGCATACTGGCTATAGAAAGAACAAAGACACATGAGAGTAAAGGTGGTACTGCATGGAGAAGGAAAACAAACCAAGAACTGCTCACTGAGGGAGCCAGAGCTGGGGCAGGCCCTGCTCACTGAGGGAACAGACCAGCCAGCCTTTCACTGCCTGACTAAACCCCAACAGGAAAAACCTTGAAAATTGCTGTGAAAGTATAGTGAGATGTTTTTGACATTCTGAAGTTCATTTTCAGCGGGGTAGAAAGGGTGTTCACTACATTGTGGTTTGATGTCTAATGGCACCTCTGATCAACTTGGTGCCTGTCACATGCATCTCACCTAGCGCCATTTCTGTGGACTGGTTACAGCAGTAGGCTGAGTGCCATGAGGAGCAGCTGACCTGTCAAACAGCAGCACAGTGTTCACCGAGAGTGTCTTTTGAACACTTTTCCATAAAGATGTGAGGGTGACCTGTTTACCAGAAATTTAGCATGGCATAGCCTTTAAAGTTTAAATTGTCAACTTAATTATCAATGCCAGCTTTAACTAATGATTCTTTTCTTGAGTCAGAGTTGAAACGTGTGTGTGTTGTATGGGGAACTATATTTGCAACAGTATTATTGACCATTCTTAAAAGTATCCATGTATTAACTACCAATCCAGGAGCATGGAAGGTTGTTCTGTCATCTAGTATCTCTCTAATTTCCTTTATCAGAAGTAGGTCTGTAGCAGACCTTTTCGTTTTTACTTAGATATATTCCTAAATACTTAATCTAGGGGGAATTTTGAATGGGATATTTTCCTACTGTTCTCCTCTGAGAGTACTTTTTTGTTATATGTGGAGTCTATTTTCTAAAAACACTGATTTTTGTATCCTGCAATTTTACTGTAGTTGTTTATTAGGTCTAGGAGTTTTCTAGGGGGCTCAATAGGATCTTTTAAGTAAAGAACCATGTTGTCTGCTAATAGGGATAGTTTGACTTCTTCCTTTCCTACTTTTATCTGTTTTATGCCTTTGTCTTGTTGAATTGCTACAGCTAAGACTTCAAGTACTCCATAAAATTTGAGAGGGGAGAATGGACATCCTTGTCTCATCCCTGAGTTTAGAGGGAATACTCTCAGCTTGCCTCCATTTACAATAATGTTGGCTATAGTTTGTTGTATGTAGTCTTTATTACTTTGGGGCATGTTGCTTCTATTCCTGAAATATCCAGAATTTTTCTTATGAACACAAGTTGGAATTTGTCAAATGCCTTTTCAGCATCTATTGAAATAACTATGTAGTTTCTGTCCTTAAGTTTACTTATGCTCTATTACACTTATTGACTTACATATTTTGAACCGACCTTGCCTTTTTAGTCATAACGTATAATCTTCTTATTGTTTCCCTAAATTTGGGAAACTGTTTTCTTGAGAATTTTTACATCTATGTTCATCAAAGAAGTTCATCTGTGGCTTTCTTTTTTATTGTGGTCTGTTTGGTTTTGGCAAACTGTTTTCATCCTTGTTGACTAACTAGTTACCTGTTTGTGACTTTGCAGGTCCTTTCTAGGATGAATGTGATTTGGAGAAACTGTATTTGTCGTCTGCGGCAAGGAAAGGTGCCACACAGATACCAGAGTGGTGTCCACCCAGTGGCCCCTCTGGGGTCAAGGATTTTAACTGATCCAGCCAAAGTTTTTGAGCACAACATGTGGTGAGTCTTTCCCCAACATTTTATTTATTTATTTGGGAAGCACATGCCACAGAGCACATGTGGAGGCAGAGGACAACTTTCGGGACTCTTTTCTTTTCATCCACCATGTAGGTTCTGAAGAGCCAACTCTCATCAGGCCAAGCGGCAAGCACCTCTACCCACTGAACCATCTCGCTGGCCCAGTTCTTACTTTTAAATTTGATATTGTATGTTTGTTAGATGTATTTTTCTCAATATGACCAAGGAAGGATTTTATTGTTTGTTTTTTGTTTTGTTTTTTTGGACAGTCTCTCTTTGTAGCCTTGGAACTCTCTATGTAGACCAGGCTGGCCTCGAACTCACAAATCTACCTGCCTCTGCCTTTTGACAGCTAGGACTAAAGGCATGCACCACCACACTTGGCAAGGAAGGATTTTTTTTTTAAGTTGATAATCTAATTTAGGTTGTAGAAGTCCTGAAGCCAGCATAACATGTTACAGATTCTGAACTTCTTTGCAAATGGAAAGTGGAAGTTCCCTAGTACATCCAGCAGCCCTGGCATCCTTGCAGACCCCTGTACTGATAGGTGCCAGGGGAACAGGCCCTTTTCTAAGTAGGACCCTCTCCCTGTGGCCCTGTTGGTTGAACAAATCATTCGTTCTGCCTCAGCCTCTTGCGTAGCTTGTGTTACAGGCCTCAGCCACTGGGCTAGAGCTCCTGGTGCCCCACAGGCCCTTCTGTCTTCACAGATATTTGTCAAGTGTACATTCAGTACCCTTTGCTTCTCAGCATGACCCTACTTCATGCTTGGAAGAAAACCTTGCCATTTGGGAAGATGGGTGTTCATGAAAAGGTTAATAATTGCAACACAGTGCTTCAAGTTCTAAGGGTTGAGTGTTATAGACTGCCCTATAAGAAACGACTTGGGAAGGGAATAGAAGGAGAGGAGGGAGGGGAAACTAAGGTCCAGATGTAAAAATAAATAAATAAATTAAGTTGTTTTTTTTTTTTTTAAAGAAACAACTTAGTAATGAGAAACTGCTTCGGTATGGACATAGGAAAGGGACTTTTTATTGTTTTGAGACGGTTTCATGTGTCTCAGGCAGGCCTTGGGCTCACTCTATAGCAGAGGAGGATGTGACCTTGACCCCTTGGTCTTCTTGTCCCCACCTCCCGAGTGTTGGGAATACAGGGAGAGAGCCACCATGTCCAGCTAGGAAGATTTCTCACATTGGGAAAACCTGAAATTAGGAATATTTATTTTGTCTCCAGTGCCTAACACAGAAGTGCTTGTTGGGAGACAAGTGTGGTGGTACAGACCTTTATTCTCAGCATTTGGGAAGAGAGACAGGTGGATCTCTGATGCAAATGTCTATATAGCAAGTGCCAAGCCAGCTAGAGCTATGGAATGAGACCATTTTCACACACACCCCAAAAGTTTTGTTTATATATACACAGCATAGCTGGAGTAAGAGCATCCTTGCTGGGTAGAAATATAAAACACAGATGAGGATGTATAAGACATCTTCAGGAGATGCTAAATAAAATTGACTGCTTTTTGTTTTTCTTTCTTTTTTTAAGCTCTTCCAGGAGATGAGTAAATCTGATCTCCAATAAGGTTGGAATGGTGTAGGACAAAGGTGGGGTAGGAGCAAGGTGGCATTCGGGTCCCACAGAGTCACTGAGGAGGGATGACACTAGATTCTGTACTTGCTGATAGTATCATGGACAGATCGGCAGCAAGAAATGGCCAGTGAGGAAGACCGTGAAGGAAGAATAAAGAGGAATTGGCAGAATAAAGGCAATGGAGGAATTTGATTTTGAAGTTTTGAACTTAGGTCACTAGTAAAAATAGGTAAACTCTCACAGTTTATTTTGGGAAGAAGACTGTGTAGATAGTTTAGCTAAGCTTTGAGAAGCTTCAAATGTCCAAATACCACACTGAATCATAGCCAAGAATTGAGGAGTGACTAAAATGCCTAGGATACAGATCCCACTGCTGGGGAAAAGATGATGTGTGTGACAGAGCTGAAGATGTACACGAGGAGGCTGCCAAGGGAGACTCAGCTCACTGGCATTGCCTGCTGTACAACTGAGCTCTCTTCAGAGAGCCTTACTGAGGGGAGCTCGTGGTCTTGACTCACCCTACAGAGAGTAATTTCAGGACCCGTTAGTACCAAGCCAAGTCAATGTTTATTAAGTATAGTATGGGATTTATGAAGAACAAAAATAATACATGCTAGGGTGGGTGTAGTGGCACAGGCCTTTCACCCTAGAACTTAACAGGCAGGCCTCTGTGAGTTTGAGGCCAGCCTGATCTACATAGTGAGTTCTGGGACAGCCCGAGCTTCATAGTGAGACTTGACCTTAAAATAAATAAATAAATAAAATACTTGTTGAGATTTAAGTGTTTTTAGAGGAAGAGAATAGGAGGAGGTTAGAAAGAATGCCCAACCTTAGGAAAAATGAGTGCCGCCTTCTGTCTTGTGTTTTGACCATACATACATACATACATACATACATACATACATACATACATACATACATACATACATACGGTTTTGGTGGCTTTTAGAGTTAAATTTTTGGGGGATTTAAATGATTAAATTATCTTGTTACACCTATTTTTTTCCTTTTGCTTCTTTTTAAGTTATTTTTTGTTATGCTTATTTTTATCTAAAGAACTTTTCTTAGTAACTGAGATTTTAAGGTGCTTTATGAGGTACCTTGTAAAACACAGAAGGCTGGAAAGATGGTTTGGCAAAGGTGCTATGCCAAGCCCAGGGACCTGAGTTCAGTCCTGGGACCCACATGGTAGATAGGGCCAACTGCCACAGTTGACCTCTGACCTCCTCACTCGAGCTGTGTCACACATGAGAGTGAAAAACACAACTTAAAAATAAATTTCCAAGCGTAATAGCATTTTTAAAGGTTAAAAGTATTCTTCTTATCCATCGTTCACAGGAGATAAAAGGCATATGTACATATGGTTCATAATCTTGCTTAGAAGATATTTTTTAGAAAAAAAAAGATTGTAGTCTATTACAGGTGGTCTGGAAGTTCTAATTAAGAGACTTAAACTATATCCCAGGGTGAGAGGCTCTTGCTCCTCCAACAGAAGAAAGTCCTTTCTTCTCCCTGTTTTTCTTTTTGCCTCAGGCCTAGCCTGAGGAGCAGGGTCTGTAGAGATGGAAAAGCAATTTGGGGGTTTCTTAGGAATACAAGTGTTTATTAGTGAGTCCTGTGTTGGGCAATAATGATAGCCACTTGATATGGGGGGAGTCTAAGTTTAGATGTGCTGGAAGGGCTGGGGAGATGGACTTAGTCTGTAAAGTCTTGTCGCACAGGCCTGAGGACCCAAGTTCCATCACCAGGGTACACCTGGGAAAAAACAAACAAAACTGTGCATGGTGTCACATGCTTGTAATGCCAGCACTGAAGAGGCAGTGACAGGCATGTTCCTGACACCCTGGCCAATCAGCATAGCTCTCTAGCCATTGAGAGCAAGATGGATGATCCCTTAGGAATGACAGCTGAGTTTGTCCTTTGGACTCTACACACACACACACACACACACACACGCACGCACGCACGCACGCACGCACGCACGCACGCACGCACGCACGCACACACGTACTGTAAGAGGTTGAAAAGTTAGCATAAAATAAAAGGTAAATTATCTCAAGTTTTATATTGAATTTCATGTTAAAATGATGGACATATTGTTTATTTTGAGTTAAATGGAAAAGTTTATGAAAAATTTTACCTGTTTTATTTTGTTCTGTTCTGTTTTTCTGAGACAGGGTCTCATTATGTAGCTCCAGTTGGCCTCAAAGTCCTAACCCTCCTGCCTCAGCCTCCCCAGGATAGGAATTAGAAGCTTCTTTTAACTTACAGTTGGTTTTGTGTGTGTGTGTGTGTTTTGTTTTTGGTTTGGGGTTTTGTTGTTGTTAATTTTATTGAGGAGGTTGCAATAGGTTTTCACATTACCAGGATCTCAAATCACAGCTCAGGCTGTTCTAGAACTTACTAGTAGCCCATGCTGGCCTCAAACTCAAGCAAGCTTCCTGCTTCAACCTTCTGAGTAACAAGATTACAGGGGTGAGCCATACACATGGCTTAAAAAGAAGAAAGTTAAGTAGAAAACTTGAAATTATATGTGTGGCTCATATTATATTCCTTTATAATTTACAAAAGGCAAACTAAACCACCTTGACTGTCATGCCAAGGGTTTGATATTGTAGGCTGTGAGAGAACATGGGTGCTCTCCCAGGCAATGAGAACTCCAGAGGAATTCCTGGCCATCAACACATGGATTTTCATAAGTCCCCAACCATTCTCTAAGCTGTCTGCTCTCTTTTCCCTCTACCACCACTGTCCAGTGGTGACTTTTACATTCTGCCTCATCATGGACTCTTGGGAATCCAGCAGCCTTTGGTCCTGATGGGCTTGTGGCTTTGGGGGCCTGGAGAGTTACTGTTTCTCTCAGTTAGAGACAAGGGAACATGGTCCAGGATCTAGAGTCAGCAGCCCTGGATCTAACTAGAAGATATTTCCTTCAGTGTGAAACCTTATTCACGTGACATTTTAACATGAAATTTCAATATTTAAAAGTCAAAAACATAGGCATGATGGTACACACCCATAATCCCAGTGCATGGGAAGCTTGAGGCAGGTGAGTTGCTGTGAGTTAAAGGCCAGCTGGGCTACACAGCAAAACTTTATCTTAAAAAACAAAAAAACAAGGTGAATGAGTGGATGGATGGATGTAAAAGCAGTCCCACTTTAAACAAAGCAGAGACCTAGGACGTGTACACCTGCATACCAGAAGAGGATATCAGATCCCATCACAGATGGTTGTGAGCCATCATGTGGTTGCTGGGGATTGAACTCAAGAGCTGCCAATGCTCTTAACCACTGAACTCTCTCCAGCTCCCCCATCCCTTTTTTATTTTTTTAAAATTTATTATTGGGCCAGAGAGATAGCACAACGGGTGAAAACTCTCCCCACCAAGCCTGGG